CATTATTGCCTTGAATAGTATTCAAATGTGATCAGCCGTACCCACTTTCTTTCCAATTTATTTTGAGTCATTTTGTGGGCTCCCCATATCAGACGTACTCATCTAATGCCATGCCATTGGCACATGAGGTTTGGTAATTTAGTGACACCCAACTACCCATGTAAATGGTGGAGATAAATAAATCAAAATGGCAAACATAATCCTATAAATCAAAGAGTTTTATCGTCATCAACGCTCGTGGATCAGTAGTAAAAAAATTTTATTTACAGAACTATATTGTCAATTTGATTTTTTAGGCATGCTAAAATTAGTCGCCTATGAATCAAAGTGACAATATTATCTTTTAAATCAAAGAATTTTACTCGCATTAGTCATCCAAATTACCGCATTATATTGCTTCTACATGTGAATAATTGACAAATTTAGAACTTGGCTGGTGAGATGAAGACTATACGAAGACTAAGACTTTTTTAATATATTTTTTATTCATATCAATATTAAACTTAGAAACCCAATGCAATTTTGCACAAAGATTGTCACGATGCACAAATATTTAAATTATTAAAATACAATACGGAGTGAGCAGGTGCTTATCAACAGAACCTCTCAACCAAAACTATATATACATATTTTTTTTGAAAATATACATATATATACGTACAAATAAGCTAACACCTAGTTAGGACACTAGAATTTGGATCACCAAGTAAACAACTAACAATTAAATAAATCTTTTTATTTATTTATTCTTCTTCTCAGATCACCAACCCCACCCAAATATATGTGGGAGTTGTTAATTGTTAAAAGGACCACTTGGGTAGGCCGATAGGTCCAAATAAGGAATAAGGTTTCGGGGTGTTTGTTTTTAGGTCCACCTTCACCTTCCCGCAATATTTGTATATACTAATAATATATATTGCAAAGAATAATAATTAAAATTTGTAGTGGAAGCTTGGCACGCCATTTACTGCATTGTAAACATGTCTTTCTCAACTTCTTAAGCATACTGTACTGGCAGTGCTATAAATATAAAGTATACAGCTTTATTTCCATTTTTTCCTCAAAGTTTCATGAAGCAGGAAGAGTTTTTTTTTTCTTCCTTTAGAGCTGTATGATTGTGTCATTAAAACATTTGAATTAAACATTTGTTCCTAATTGCACGCATTATAAGCCACATCAAGTCCACATTTGACAACAGACAAGCTGATTGCATTTTCCAAATTACAGATACACTTATCTCCTTTTATGAAAGTAAGAACTTTTTACTTTTTTGCCAATTACTGTTTGACATTTGACATATATGTGGAGATTTTCTTTTTGTGTTTTTGACGAATTATTTTCGCATATATGTCAAACTGTGATCTGTAGGAAGTAAAAATGTCATTTTCTAAGGAAGGAGGGAAATAGTGTCCTTTACCGCTCGAATATTTTGTACGTAAGTTTTTGACGAATTATTTTCGCATATATGTCAAACTGTGATCTGTAGGAAGTAAAAATGTCATTTTCTAAGGAAGGAGGGAAGTAGTGTCCTTTACCGCTCGAATATTTTGTACGTAGTATATGCATGACATTGTTTACTCTTGTTGGAGCTTTCATTCCGAAATATATTAATATATTAATTATTTTACAGAAAGTCTTGGTGACTTTGAAATTATGTGCACAGAATGTTCGATTATGTGTCATCTCCTCAATTTATATATGTATTTCTAGTTTTGGCTGGTAAACAAGAAAGGACTTAGTCTACAAATGTCACCATGAGACTTCTACCTACAAATGTCATCAGGAGACTTCTACCTACAAATGTTCACAAATTCCAAATATTTATTATTATTTTTCTCTATGGCATCATAGAAATCTTTTTCCATTTACCTCAAGGATTGATTGGTCTTTTTCATAATTTAAAGCGAAAGGCCGGTAGGAAAAATACCGATTGAAATAAATAAAAATACTTGCCTCCTTTTTTGAAAGTATGAATTCATATTTTTCTGTCAATCATGATTTACAGGAAAAGAGAGAGGATTCTTCTAAAGTATCCTTAGTAAAAACGTCATTACATACTGAATCAAAAATATCTGAACGTATCAAATCAAAAATACCTGTTTGACATTGTAACTTGAAAACCATATACCAGACCTCTGAGAGTTGATCAAGAAAATGCTCTCTTTTCTTTCACGCAAAGTTATTTGACTTTGATATGTCATTGCTGTCTAGGTACATGGTAATGGTGACGATTCTTGGTTATTGTGATATTTTGTGTTGCATTGGTGGTGTAGTAGGACAAAAGATAAATGAACAGGCCTATAGAACTGTTTTGGATTGTAACTTGGGAGGGCCTTTGAAAGTTATCGCCGAATTGCCTGAGTTATTTCTGTCGAGGGTAACAAGGGTGGCTATGCAAATCATGAATGATGTGCCGTTGAAATTTCTTTACGTGTGCATGTGCTGCTATATACATTGTATTGTAGTTGATGTTGCTGATTCTAGAATGATCTCGTTGCAATGTTTATCTCTCATCAAAATAGATACTAACAAATATTGTCTGAAGTACCTACCTGTGTGATTATTATTTGAGATACTAAGTATATACTGTTTGGCGGTTCAGGATGGCTCCTGTAGGGTAGTTATAGGGTCAAGTGGCAATGGAGAAACTATAACGGCGCTGCCTAATGAAATGGAGGCAGTCGTACCAAGGAAAAATGATAAGATCAAGATCATGGGTGGCTCGTTACGCGGTGTCACTGGTAAGCTGATTGGTGTGGATGGCACAGATGGAATTGTCAAGGTGGATGACACCCTTGATGTTAAGATATTAGACTTGGCTATTTTGTCAAAACTAGGCCAATAGTAATTTGTTGGGAACAAATAAAATTTCAAAATGTAAATTATTATTGATTTTTCTAATTTTTCTAATTTTTGGAAGCAAAGATCCAATTGAGTGCTCTCTCTCTCTCTCTCTCTCTCTCTCTCTCTCTCTCTCTCTCTCCATGTGAAACTGATTAAAAGATCAACCCCTGGTCTATAGTGAGTGTGACAACTGTTCTCTTTTTTTTTTTTTTGGTCGGAACCATGAGGTGGTCCTGAATGGACCCCAACTATGGGTGGCACTTGGAACAAATAAAGTTTCAAAATGTAAATTATTATTGATTTTTCTAATTTTTCCAATTTTTGGAAGCAAAGATCCAATTGAGTGCTGTCTCTGTCTCTGTCTCTGTCTGTGTCTCTCTCCATGTGAAACTGATTAAAAGATCCACCCCAGGTCTATTGAGTGTGACAATTGTTATCTTTCAATGCAATGCTAAGCGCCCTTTTAATGAGACTTTTGTTTAACTTCTAGCCTATTCATCAATTAAGAAGGAAATATGAGAGGGCAGACAAATGGAAGGCGAAACAAAATGAAAACGAAGACACAGAACCCCAAAAAGAAAAAACTAAAAAAACAATTTTAAATATGTTCTCGTCATCTTTCTTTTTCTCATATGTTCCCATTATCACTCTCAAAACAACAAAAATAGATTGATTTGCAAATAACAGTTCTGGTTTTACCTGTACTTGGAAATCGGAAGTACCTTTCTTGGTTTTAATTTGTTGTTTCACTGGTTTTAGCTAGGCTTGATAGAGATTTATTTCTCCTACACATTGATCAATATGGCTGCTCAAAATTGTCAACAGATATTGCAAATTAAGTGCATTTTCAAGGCTGTACACATCAAGGGGCAAGGGGAGGTTGAATAAATTTATTTATTTATTTATTTATTCATTGAATATATACACAGAAACTGTCCAACAGAAGCTCGGACATAAACAGTATGAAAAGAAAAAGAAAAAAAAACAGATTCGCACACTCTCTTACATTACATATGCAGACCAAATTTGAAAATTTTCAAAAAAGAAAAGACGAGTAAAAAAAAATGAAAATTAGAATGTGCGGACACAAACATCAAGGATGAAGCTTTCATTCCTCCATGTGGATTATGCATCGAAGACCTTCCCCTTTAAGCATGTAATCAAATGCCTTGTTGATTTCTGAGAATGGGACTTTGTGGGTGATGAACTTTTCCAGCTCAAGTTCCTGCAACATTGTGGGAGTTTCCAATTCAATTGATGTGTGCATAAATAAAACTAGTGTAGCACTTACACAGCAACTCATAACATAAAATTGAAAAAAGAGCATCAATGAAAATTAGCTTCAGCTTTAGCTAGCTTACATTATTCATGTACTTCTCCACAACAGAGGGAATGTCGGATCGAGGCTTGTAATTTCCGAAGAAGGTACCCTTGAGAGTCCTCTCGTTCAGAAAGTTCACGGGATGCGTCTTGAAGACAGCCTCTTTGTGTGGTACTCCCACAAGAACAGCAACACCCCAACCCTGGAGTAGAATTTTTGTGTTCATCATAACAAGATCACATCAAAACTTAAAAGAGAGAAACATGGAGCCAAAGGATTAGGAACATACATCATGGACACATTCAAACGCAGATATCATGGCTTCAACATTTCCAGTACATTCAATGCTTCTGTCCACTCCTCCATTGGTCAGCTCAGCAATCACCTAATAAGCAATCCATAAGAAAGCTCTTTAGAAACATGTTTAAGGAGGTACAAGGGAAACAATGTACAAAAAGAATCCATGCCAGTAACAAACAAACCTCTTGAACTGGCTTTTTGTGGTCCTTTGGGTTCACAAATTCGGTTACGCCAAACTTTTTTGCTGCAAACAATCAAGTTAAAATTCAGAGACATATGGAGAACATTTGCAAACATGAAAGTCAAAAAATAGAAGCAGAAAACACATCTACTTCTTGTGCATTGTTCTCTTTTCTGATAAAAGGAGGCTTATTGCAAGTCAAGTATATATCCTGAAATGCCAGATACTTTCCCAGAAATAAACAATTTACTTTCAGGAATTATATATCTCACCCTCTTCAAATCTGCTGGAATTCAAATCAACACCAATAATTCTTGAAGCCCCAGAAATCCTGGCTCCTTCAGCAGCCTGAATCAGAAAACCATTTATACATTTATTTTCCATTATACACATAAACATACACCTAAACAAGCAGTGAAAGTGTCACATATATAAATATATGGCAGATAGCAAGAGATAAAGAGACTCACTGCAAGGCCTACAGCTCCCAATCCAAAAACAGCAACTGTTGATCCCTTTTTCGGTTTTGCAACATTAAGAGTAGCTCCCAGACCTGAACATATATCCAGATAATTAAAAAATAAATTCCAATTAAACATTAAGCAAAATTCCAATCATACTTGTATATATGGATACCTGTGGAGATACCACAACTGAGGACACAGACTTTGTCCAGAGGAGCCAAGGGATTGATCTTGGCAAGGCAGCCAACATGAACAACAGTGTACTCACTGAAGGTGGAAGTCCCAACAAAGTGGTATATTGGCTTGCCTTTAATTGAAAATCTTGATTTCCCATCACTCAGCATCACTCCCCTGTCAGTGTTTATCCTGAGGAGATCACACATGTTGCTCTCTTCTGATTTACAGTGAGCACAGTCCTTGCATTCCCCTGTGAACACAGGCAGGACATGATCGCCTGCTTTAAGATCCGTCACGCCTTCACCAACACTCTCCACAATCCTAATTTGTAAACACCAGGAAATCCACATAAGTTAATGCTACACTATACTATATGGTTTCCTTGCTTCTGCTAAATTGAAAACAAGTTTGATAGAAATTTACATACCCTCCTGCCTCATGACCATAAATTCTAGGAAACAAAGGGTTTTGTCCCTGCAATATAGAAAACCCAATTCAGATTTTGTGTGCTATATTTGGTTCTTGGCTTTCATGATCATAAAGAAATCTTGCTTAGGAGGAAAAAGAATTATATAAAAAATATAAAAAAAGCACCTTGGCTTCCCAGAAGTAGACATCAGTATGGCACAAAGAGGTATAAAGGATTTTCAAACGAACTTCATTTGTCTGTGGTGGTGCTACCTCAACTTCTTCAATCACCAGTGGCTTCCCTGCTTCCCATGCTACAGCAGCTACATAAACAAAACCAAAACCAAAAACCCTTTACTCAATAAATCTCAGAAACATTAAAAAAAACAGCAAGCAAGATGATTCTATAAAATAGACAAGCCATCAATTTCTATACACATGGTTGGTTAGAGTATGATACCTCTGCAGCGTATGACCTGTCCAGCAGTATTAGAATTAGACATTCTTCCTCCTCTTGGTTACTGAGAATCCAATGAATGCAGCTAAGAACTTGAAATTGAAACTCTGAGAAAGCTTTGTAGTAGTATGTAACAGACTTGTAACTTTTAAGAACAGTGTTAAGTTTCTGGTGTGGTTTGAAATAAAGGCAGCATGTGTAGGTATTTATACATCATCCCATAAAGAAAAGAGGAGGCTGAATTAGTCTAATTTAATAGATAAGGATATTGCTGCGTGATGTTGTCCTAGAACATTAGACTTTTAACAATTGTTAGTTCCAATGGCAAAACCAAAACCATTCCTTGATTTCAGTTGTTAGGAATTTAGTCCCTGGTTTTACAGGCTGGTTTAGCGAGTCTCCAATCAGATTAATTTTCATAGATGATTATACATAACTAAATAAAAATAGAAAGTTGCTCGATTATAATATAATTGGAGGACTAGTGGTTTTGTCATCTTTCGTTTTTTTTTTTTTGGTTCATAAAGTTTTGTCATCTTTCTGGTTTCTATAATAAAAATAACCGCCAATGACAGAAATACGAGGATTAGTGGTGGTTTTGGTATTGGACCACAGTCCCCTGTTTGGTCGATTCATTAGTCATAAGAAAGAAGTATCAAAATAAATATTAAGCAACTTGTACCAAGAAAAAATTAAATATTAAGCAACCAATTACAGTAAGCGTAGGCTGCGTGGCTACACTGTTATGTCATCCTTTTAATATGCGAGACTAAAGTTAAAAATGCTGTCGCCCATGAATGATGCAACAGAACTTGTTGGATTGACATTGAACCACACAAACTAGGACAAATGAACCAAGAGGCACGAGACGGTGGAGTCTAGCCTAATGAAAAAAGGAATGGATTTGCAGACTAGTGGTTTCATGTTCGAATTCTTATGACACATTATTGAACCACACAAACTAGGACAAATGAACCAAGAGGCACGAGGCGGTGGAGTCTAGCCTAATGAAAAAAGGAATGGATTTGCAGACTAGTGGTTTTATGTTCGAATTCTTATGACACATTGGTAACCGGAGGCGGCGGATTGAACCACACAAACTAGGACAAATGAACCAAGAGGCACGAGGCGGTGGAGTCTAGTCTAATGAAAAAAGGAATGGATTTGTAGACTAGTGGTTTCATGTTCGAATTCTTATGACACATTGGTAATCCGGAGGCGGCATGAGGAAGAGTTACTCATAAAACGAGTTTGTTGTCATGATTGAGAAATGTCAATAATCGAACTCACGTTTTTTACAGTTGTCATTTGACTTGGAAAGAAAGAAACAAGAGGCACAGTAGTCATACTGATAAGTCCCTGTTTCAATTTTTCAAACCCTGTTTTGATAAGAATAATTCTCATAGCGTAAAGTCTCTCGCTAGTGGGTTAAAAGAATACTGGTTTTATACATTTTTTATTTATGATGGATTCTGATTCTTACGTAAGCACATTAAACTTGGAAAGAAAACAAGCAAACTTGGATTGTTAATGGTTTTACTTTAATGTCACAATACCCTTGCATTTGGTTTCAGAACGGAAATGCTATAATGAGGGGGTTTTTGGTGAGAGAGCCAACACACATCAAAGGCCATAACAAGCACAAAAATCATAACATGTCCCAAGTTCATGGCATACCTAGAATTTGATCCAACTTAAACCTAGAAAAAGGTCTAGAGATGTGCCGTCGCGGACGTGAGGACTGAAAGACAGCCAGGACAACACCACCATAGCCAGAGTTGAGGGAGAAATCCGCCAACCACAATTGACTACACATATTTTGAAAAGACAAATAATATCGTGATAATTCAGAAATTTTAATTTGGCCATAGTGAGAAGGTCTTTTAAGTAAAACAAGAGACTATTGAGATTTTTTTGTTTTGTTTGGATCGAGAGAGACTATTGAGACTTGAACAAGATAAATGCTGGTTGAAATTGACATTAATCTTGAACTGATGCATAAGTGAAGACTTTTAATCAGCATTGTTTGTTGCCAACACTAATACTTTTAAGTCTACGATGGCTACACATGTGTCTATTTGGGATTCCGAATCTCTACATTTAGTATCGATGCATTTACACGTAATTAAAAAAATCTAAACCATTGAATTGATCCAATGAAATTTAATTATTCCACATCATCATAATTGTATTAGATTAAAACTCCTCCTTTTGCACCTTATCATTCACTCATCTCTTCCTCTCCCAAAAGGTTGCGCAGCCTTTCCTCTTTCTCTCCCACAATTAAATCATTTTTATAATTATTAAAACCTTGAATTTGATTCAAAAACTAATATCCAATTCGACATGTCTCATACCAATAAATTATCTCTTTTAATGTATTAATTTTGTAAATTATAGACACTGTTGCTTCTTGAATTGCATATCGCTGTCGTCACTTTGTCTTATGAATAAGACAATACGGTGTATATCAGAATTCCTTCTCTTTATTTTGCACATTTTTCATTTATGATTTTGCAGGTTTATTTTTGCTGTTGAAACAGTATAGTATTAAAGATTAGAATTTGTTAATATCATTTCCTAGGCCTTGTTGAGAGCCACTCATCCCAAGAGAGAGAGAGAGGGAAGGAGACGGAGGTGGCAACCATGGCTGGCAGTATATATGTGACCCTAGTGTCAAAAAAGCTAAAGAGAAGGACCAGAAGGAGGCATCGAAGGTGATAAGGGGTCAACCTCTACCAATGCCATGGAGTCGGAGGAGCCTGGGCAGCTGTTGCACTGCAAGTTTCCTGAACGTGTTTTCTTTCTTTTCTTTTCTTTTTGAAAACTAATATATTGTGTTGTAAACGAAAATATATTCAATTAAGATTTTAATAGATTGTTTTGAAGCTTATAAATCTAGTGGTATTCAATTAGAATTTTTAAGTAATCAATAAAAGTATGATGGTATTCAACTAGGACTTTTAAAAGATAAGAAAAAGAAAGTCCCAAGCAAATAAAGTATGCTTAAATCTTCTTTTAATGATGCACCCATCTGAGCAAACAAAAGTAAAAATTAGACTTTTATTTAGTATGTAATAAATACCATTGTATATATAACTTGATAAACTTCAGCCAAAAGAAAATATACAACTTGATAAATTTATATAGATCATTTCATGCAAGTCAAATTACAGGGGCATCACAAGCCAAAAAATATTCTTTGTTATTCTGAAGAGGAACATCACCAGCAATCTGAAAACAAATTAATAAAGCACAAACAAAATAGAACATGGCCAACTGCATGCACCAGCAAACATAAAACCCAAAATAGTATCTTCAGATATTTCTGCAAACAAAAGCATGAATATTGCAGATTCAGCTGCTGTGGACTTGCTCAAGCCTCAACTCAAGGTACAAATTGAAAATTTCTGATTTAGTAAATAGTCGGTGCACATAATAACCGAAATTCAGAGTGATCCGGTCATGTATCACTATAATAACATGGAAGAACAGTTGACTAGTCACCTGCAAAAAAATTTCACAAGTGCACTGCTAGTTGAAAATACATTAAATATAATGATAATACAGCTTCAATAAATAAAAGTTTACTACTTTAATTCTTCCTATATATCAGCTAGCTGCTAGTTTCTCCGCCATGGGCTAGCTGGTGGGCATGTTGTGGTAGGCTAGGAACTGGTGTTGGCCACCATGGGAGTACGAATGGGAAGAAATAAAAATTATTGAGTTTCCTCTTTTCAACTATCTTTGACCACTTTCTTGTACGAATGTTGCACATTAGAACATCTGCATCCACATATAGATAAAAAATATCATCATTATTTGGGTCGAAAGATAGCCTCTCAACAACTCGTGCATCATCCGGATACATATCTTGGTCGAAGGAATAAACGTTGTGTTTACTCAAACACAATTCGCCAGCTCCCTTGACCATATAATCATGATCTTGTCGTTTCAAATCCCAAACAAACAGAGTTTTGGTATCTGTGCATCCGCAACAACCCTCCACACACACCTAGGCACTCAACTACAAAATGGTCGGCTACAGGCATAGCAAATACCACGAAACGACATTTATGATCAATAATATCACCACCATTGCTACTACCACTACTAGTGCTAGTACTGCTATTGTCCTTGAACGGATCCAACCCAAGAACCAGAAAATAGCCATAATCATGACCCGACCAATACAACACTCCATTGTACGAAAAGGCCATAGCATCGAGATAATCATAAGAAATTCCTCGTGGGGATGATACAACTAACTCGCTCCATTTGCCAGTCTCAAAAGAGAAGATCTCCACATTAAAATTGAAGCAGTATTCATCATGATCAAATACAAATTGACGATCGGGAGGAAGAATTCTCACAACCTTGCACCTAAACTTGGCATTAAGCTGGATGACATGTCCATTTGGATCGTCTTCCTCATAGTAGGGACTATCACAGATGAATCCCACTCGTACAATGTCATAGCATCGAGTAGGGGTGGGAGGAAGAGCAACCCATTGCATGGTGTATGGATTGCATATGTAGTAATTGTGTTGATCAAACAAGCTATCGCAGCATAAAATCAAGTCATTGTAAGTCCCTACCACAACTGGCTCTGTTTCCAAATGGTCGAAACTCTCGAGTCTTTTCAACATAGGAGTTAACACTTCGGACAACGAAACTCTGTTAAATAATTCCTCCGCATTGCGGCTTATCAAAGTGCGTACAGTCGGTGTTTTCCTATGACTTTGGAGACGCAAAAAGCGGTCAATAAAATAAGGAGCAGAAATGAGAGTGAGCCAACGCTTGCACACACACTTGCATTGAAAAATGAATTTACCGCAAGGAACTCGACAAAGTATTTCAACCAACACAAGCTCAGGGAGATCATGAATATCCATCAATTTCGATGATTGCCTTTGCCTTACGGATGATGATCTATCTTTTTAGGTGGATACGCTTCAAGGGACAGCTGGGCTCTACTGCTTCCTCCAATGGCAGCACAACTTAATTAGGATCTACTTCAAGATGCTGTTTCAAATTTCAATACATACAAGAAAATATATAAAGGAAATAAATAAATAAACTAAGAAAACGAATGCAGCTAAAATAGAATCAGCAAAATGAAACCAAATACAGGAAACTGCTTGCTTAGTTACTTGGTACAATAGAACTCTATGCATTTGTGAACCCTAAATCTAGAATTTGGGATTTAGGGTTAGAAATTTTACTGTCAATAAATAGGAATTTGGAAATGAAGGATTTTACCTGGTCAAGACTGAAGAGGATGATTTTCTTAAGCACCCAAACAGAAATAGTAGGAACAACAAAGAACCAGAGGAATCAAATGGTCTTTGATTCTTAGAGAAGAGGAGGGAGGAGGGAGGAGGAGGAGGAGGAGAGGAGTACAAGTGCAACGATAACCCCCACTGAACTAGTAAATCTTCCGGAAACAACCGCAGTTCATGATTTGGGCTGGAAGCTGAATAGGCCCAAGACGGTGGGAAAATGGGCCTTTGCGCTGTTTTTTTAAATTTTAAACTTTTACCATTAGCCGTACTTAGAAGTGGATATAAGTATTTAATGTTGTTTTATTTTATGATTATTTTAAACTTTTAATTAATGTTAACTATTTTTTATATTATTTTTTAATAGAGATTAACCAATTAAAATAGTTATAGCATTTATGACTCCCTAAAATAGAGAGCATGATTGGAGTTTAAATTTTATAGAGAATTCCTAAAATAGTTTTTAACTAAATTTTAACTAAAAAATAGAGAGCATGATTGTGATGTTATTAACTTAAAACCACTGTTTTTTAGACCTAGTTTTGAAAACCTAAACTATAAAATAACTCAAAATCACCCAAACACTTGAAAATAGAAATTAATATAATTATATTTATATTTCTTATAGAAACTGTTTTTAAGTTGCATACCAAATAAATTTGAATATTAAAACATGAATTTTAGAAGTCTTTGTTTCTAAAGTTTTTGAGTTTCCTACTTAAATAGGATACTTAGAACTCCTTGTTTTTAAGAAAAATAATTTTTTTTGGAAATTCCCTACTTGAATAGGATACCCAACACTACCTTATTTTGCTGTACGTTTTATTTATTTATTTATTTAAAAACTCAATGAATTTGTGAATTCTTAATCGATAGATTGGGGTTTTGAAGTCAGAAAAATTTAAGGACAATAAATAGTGTTGAAATTGAGGATTTTACCTGGTAAAGACTCAAGATCGGATGGATGATTTTGATAAGCACCCAAATAGAAATAGCATAAAAGTAAAGGCTAGGATTCACACACGATGCAAATTGTCTTCTATGATATGATTCGTTGGTGTGGTTTTGCACACCCTTCGTTGGCAAGAGACCAATCTAAAGAAAACCTTCATATACTTATTTCAACTTCACAATTTTGTTCTCTGCCCTAGGCCCACAATTTTATGTCCATCCACAAATAATGTTGTGCATGACAATACCTCCATCCACAAATAGATAGCAAACATCCTGATTGTTTGGATCGAAACGTAGCAGCCAAACAAACAACGCATCATCCGGATACATATTTTGGTCCATCGAATAAACCATGCATTGTTTGACAGTGATTTTGGGAGGACAAGAATGACGCACATATGTTTTTTCAGAATATTATTTTCAAACCAACTAGGAACGTTACAATTATAGAGTTGTAGGCTAAGAATCTTATGGGGTACTCACACACACACAGGTACCATGAAGGCTTTCAACTAAGATCACTTGGAAGTACACCAAAAACTTAACCAATCCAACTATAACACCCCATTGATAAATAATTTATACAAAATTGGATATATCAAAATTAACAAACTTTCTAGTTTAGTTGTATTTCTCTTCTTAATACTGGAAGAGGTCCCAAATCCCGTCTTCTCCATTGAAAAAAAAGAGGTTAGATTATCGAACATTGAAACTTGGGTAACTTACTATGACAATGAATGAAAATCAATTGGATTACATTATGTATGTATAATATATATTAAATTTGCTTGCCTCGTTTCCTCCGCCATGGCCTTGCTGCTGGGCATGCATGTTGTGGGAGTCTAGGAACTGGTGTTGGCCACCATGGCAGCACATGCACAAAGCTGTTGTGCGGAAGCGTCAACCAATTGCGAGTGAAAAATAAACAACAACTGGCAGGAGATAAATGGAACACAAAACAACACCAACAAGAACACCAAGATTTATACTGGTTCGGCAATGCCTACATCCAGTTTGGAGACGACGGAGTAATTCACTATAATCAAAGAGAGTATACAAAGTGTTTATCACTCAAGAAAACCCAAAGCCCCAAATACACCCAAGTCTCACTCTCACAACAATTGAAGAGAAAACAATAATACAAAGCAAAGAACAACTAGAGAGAAATGTTTCTCTCTTTGGCAAGATGCCTTCTTTGCTATTTTCCTCTTCTACTCAACACTTGGTGGGATGCTTCAAATGGAACCATTTGCTTCCAATTTATAGCCAAAGATGCAAGAGTGTGAATGCAAGCTTCAACTATTCATTTGTTGGCTACCAAACTTACCAATGGATGGCTACCAAACAATCCACCCTTTTTGACCTCATAGTAAGCCAACATTTACTCACATGGGCAACTAACTTGACTCACATAGGCAACTCCAAAATTCTTTTACATTTGAGCCAATTTCCAACACATACACCTAAACAAGCAGTGAAAGTGTCACATATATAAATATATGGCAGATAGCAAGAGATAAAGAGACTCACTGCAAGGCCTACAGCTCCCAATCCAAAAACAGCAACTGTTGATCCCTTTTTCGGTTTTGCAACATTAAGAGTAGCTCCCAGACCTGAACATATATCCAGATAATTAAAAAATAAATTCCAATTAAACATTAAGCAAAATTCCAATCATACTTGTATATATGGATACCTGTGGAGATACCACAACTGAGGACACAGACTTTGTCCAGAGGAGCCAAGGGATTGATCTTGGCAAGGCAGCCAACATGAACAACAGTGTACTCACTGAAGGTGGAAGTCCCAACAAAGTGGTATATTGGCTTGCCTTTAATTGAAAATCTTGATTTCCCATCACTCAGCATCACTCCCCTGTCAGTGTTTATCCTGAGGAGATCACACATGTTGCTCTCTTCTGATTTACAGTGAGCACAGTCCTTGCATTCCCCTGTGAACACAGGCAGGACATGATCGCCTGCTTTAAGATCCGTCACGCCTTCACCAACACTCTCCACAATCCTAATTTGTAAACACCAGGAAATCCACATAAGTTAATGCTACACTATACTATATGGTTTCCTTGCTTCTGCTAAATTGAAAACAAGTTTGATAGAAATTTACATACCCTCCTGCCTCATGACCATAAATTCTAGGAAACAAAGGGTTTTGTCCCTGCAATATAGAAAACCCAATTCAGATTTTGTGTGCTATATTTGGTTCTTGGCTTTCATGATCATAAAGAAATCTTGCTTAGGAGGAAAAAGAATTATATAAAAAATATAAAAAAAGCACCTTGGCTTCCCAGAAGTAGACATCAGTATGGCACAAAGAGGTATAAAGGATTTTCAAACGAACTTCATTTGTCTGTGGTGGTGCTACCTCAACTTCTTCAATCACCAGTGGCTTCCCTGCTTCCCATGCTACAGCAGCTACATAAACAAAACCAAAACCAAAAACCCTTTACTCAATAAATCTCAGAAACATTAAAAAAAACAGCAAGCAAGATGATTCTATAAATTAGACAAGCCATCAATTTCTATACACATGGTTGGTTAGAGTATGATACCTCTGCAGCGTATGACCTGTCCAGCAGTATTAGAATTAGACATTCTTCCTCCTCTTGGTTACTGAGAATCCAATGAATGCAGCTAAGAACTTGAAATTGAAACTCTGAGAAAGCTTTGTAGTAGTATGTAACAGACTTGTAACTTTTAAGAACAGTGTTAAGTTTCTGGTGTGGTTTGAAATAAAGGCAGCATGTGTAGGTATTTATACATCATCCCATAAAGAAAAGAGGAGGCTGAATTAGTCTAATTTAATAGATAAGGATATTGCTGCGTGATGTTGTCCTAGAACATTAGACTTTTAACAATTGTTAGTTCCAATGGCAAAACCAAAACCATTCCTTGATTTCAGTTGTTAGGAATTTAGTCCCTGGTTTTACAGGCTGGTTTAGCGAGTCTCCAATCAGATTAATTTTCATTGATGATTATACATAACTAAATAAAAATAGAAAGTTGCTCGATTATAATAGAATTGGAGGACTAGTGGTTTTGTCATCTTTTTTTTTTTTTTTTGGTTCATAAAGTTTTGTCATCTTTCTGGTTTCTATAATAAAAATAACCGCCAATGACAGAAATACGAGAATTAGTGGTGGTTTTGGTATTGGACCGCAGTCCCCTGTTTGGTCGATTCATTAGTCATAAGAAAGAAGTATCAAAATAAATATTAAGCAACTTGTACCAAGAAAAAATTAAATATTAAGCAACCAATTACAGTAAGCGTAGGCTGCGAGGCTACACTGTTTATGTCATCCTTTTAATATGCGAGACTAAAGTTAAAAATGCTGTCGCCCATGAATGATGCAACAGAACTTGTTGGATTGACATTGAACCACACAAACTAGGACAAATGAACCAAGAGGCACGAGGCGGTGGAGTCTAGCCTAATGAAAAAAGGAATGGATTTGTAGACTAGTGGTTTCATGTTCGAATTCTTATGACACATTGGTAATCCGGAGGCGGCATGAGGAAGAGTTACTCATAAAACGAGTTTGTTGTCATGATTGAGAAATGTCAATAATCGAACTCACGTTTTTTACAGTTGTCATTTGACTTGGAAAGAAAGAAACAAGAGGCACAGTAGTCATACTGATAAGTCCCTGTTTCAATTTTTCAAACCCTGTTTTGATAAGAATAATTCTCATAGCGTAAAGTCTCTCGCTAGTGGGTTAAAAGAATACTGGTTTTATACATTTTTTATTTATGATGGATTCTGATTCTTACGTAAGCACATTAAACTTGGAAAGAAAACAAGCAAACTTGGATTGTTAATGGTTTTACTTTAATGTCACAATACCCTTGCATTTGGTTTCAGAACGGAAATGCTATAATGAGGGGGTTTTTGGTGAGAGAGCCAACACACATCAAAGGCCATAACAAGCACAAAAATCATAACATGTCCCAAGTTCATGGCACACCTAGAATTTGATCCAACTTAAACCTAGAAAAAGGTCTAGAGATGTGCCGTCGCGGACGTGAGGACTGAAAGACAGCCAGGACAACACCACCATAGCCAGAGTTGAGGGAGAAATCCGCCAACCACAATTGACTACACATATTTTGAAAAGACAAATAATATCGTGATAATTCAGAAATTTTAATTTGGCCATAGTGAGAAGGTCTTTTAAGTAAAACAAGAGACTATTGAGATTTTTTTGTTTTGTTTGGATCGAGAGAGACTATTGAGACTTGAACAAGATAAATGCTGGTTGAAATTGACATTAATCTTGAACTGATGCATAAGTGAAGACTTTTAATCAGCATTGTTTGTTGCCAACCCTAATACTTTAAGTCTACGATGGCTACACATGTGTCTATTTGGGATTCCGAATCTCTACATTTAGTATCGATGCATTTACACGTAATTAAAAAAATCTAAACCATTGAATTGATCCAATGAAATTTAATTATTCCACATCATCATAATTGTATTAGATTAAAACTCCTCCTTTTGCACCTTATCATTCACTCATCTCTTCCTCTCCCAAAAGGTTGCGCAGCCTTTCCTCTTTCTCTCCCACAATTAAATCATTTTTATAATTATTAAAACCTTGAATTTGATTCAAAAACTAAAATCCAATTCGACATGTCCCATACCAATAAATTATCTCTTTTAATGTATTAATTTTGCAAATTATAGACACTGTTGCTTCTTGAATTGCATATCGCTCTCGTCACTTTGTCTTATGAATAAGACAATACGGTGTATATCAGAATTCCTTCTCTTTATTTTGCACATTTTTCATTTATGATTTTGCAGGTTTATTTTTGCTGTTGAAACAGTATAGTATTAAAGATTAGAATTTGTTAATATCATTTCCTAGGCCTTGTTGAGAGCCACTCATCCCAAGAGAGAGAGAGAGGGAAGGAGACGGAGGTGGCAACCATGGCTGGCAGTATATATGTGACCCTAGTGTCAAAAAAGCTAAAGAGAAGGACCAGAAGGAGGCATCGAAGGTGATAAGGGGTCAACCTCTACCAATGCCATGGAGTCGGAGGAGCCTGGGCAGCTGTTGCACTGCAAGTTTCCTGAACGTGTTTTCTTTCTTTTCTTTTCTTTTTGAAAACTAATATATTGTGTTGTAAACGAAAATATATTCAATTAAGATTTTAATAGATTGTTTTGAAGCTTATAAATCTAGTGGTATTCAATTAGAATTTTTAAGTAATCAATAAAAGTATGATGGTATTCAACTAGGACTTTTAAAAGATAAGAAAAAGAAAGTCCCAAGCAAATAAAGTATGCTTAAATCTTCTTTTAATGATGCACCCATCTGAGCAAACAAAAGTAAAAATTAGACTTTTATTTAGTATGTAATAAATACCATTGTATATATAACTTGATAAACTTCAGCCAAAAGAAAATATACAACTTGATAAATTTACAAGCCCAAAAAAAAATAAAAAAATCATATAGGCTTGTAATTAAGCATTATTCAATGTCTCTAATTTTTTTGAGTTCAGACAACAGGAGAGAAGAGGGGGGAGAGCGTCGGTATAATCAAATTACAAAGGCTTACTTTGGATCATATTATCTATAGATAACATAAGATGGATATAAAATTGCATTAAACCAAAGTGTAGCTAGTGCCTACTGATTTGGTGTAATGTAAAAAGTTCTATAACAACAAATTAGTAAAGCAAAAAAAAAAAAGTATGCAACCCCTTTACTTATTAGTTGATTATTTTAAAATCCTAATTAAATACCATCATATTTTTATTGATTACGTTTGAAAATAATCTATTAAAATCCTAATTGAATACACCCCCTAAACTATAAAGGGAGAGGAGGTTTCTCACACTCATACTAACAAGGTGTCATGGGGGTCCGAACTTGAGACCACTAATCTATAAAGGATTCATCAGATTTCACAAGTGAACGGAAGGAATTTGTTGTTTTTTTTAAATAAAAAAAAAGGTGTGGGTCAAGCAGAGCTATGGTGTCCTCCACACGTTTGCTCCGGCTGTATCCCGACCTGAGATTTCAACCACCAGCCACTGCTCCTTGACTCCATTGATGAAGATGCTTCAAAAATGCTCTTTGCACTTGCTTCTAGGATTATGGTAGTGCTTTTTGCGTGGGTGGTTTGTCCACCACCATTCTCCGTTCTAAGCATTGGTCTATTTGGTTAATGGTAGCGGTTGTGGATCTGCGACGGCGACACGACAAGTGGGAAGTAGCGGCTGTAGCATCTCCGATTTAGAGTTCTTCCTTTGTGTTTGTATTGGGCTCGATGTTAGTTTTAGGGTTTTTCCTTTATGTAGTTTCTTTTTTTCTTTCTATTCGGCTGAGGCCTTGTACTTATTAGTTTTGGGTGGATTTTTATTTTTGCATTTTTTGACTTTGTAATCCTTTCATTTTAATGGAACGAATTACCTTGATTTTTTAAAAAAATTCAAAAAAAACAGAGTTGGAGTGGGTCCCACAGAGCAGAGTGAAAAAAACAGATGGGCCGGTGCAGACGGGACACGGGTGGCTGTAAATTCAGGTGGGTGGTTGGGCTTTGGGAGCCCACATAAGGCCACATGTCATTTCATTGTCAAGTCTGCAACAAACAAATGCGACAAGCTTTGACGCTTAGTTACAGACACTGCCTCCTCTCCCATCCCATGTACGAGAGAGAGTACCCCTACCCGTTTCCCCACTAGTTGAACATTTTGTTTCATATGTTTTAGCAAACTCTCCTTTTAACGAGAGAGAGTACTTCTGTGTTACTTCTTCAAATACTTCTTTTAACGGTTCTTTTGATGTTTTTGTTCCCTTAAAACAATCGTTTTCTTGTTCAATTTTTTTTTCTCTTCTTTTATAAGATGATTTCTCATATCACTAGTTGTATATATCCTCGAGTCTTTCCCTCTCATCACGAGACTTAATCAAATTATTTATGAAACTTAATGTGTAGGAATGTCTTCTTTGTTTTGGGTACAGTTACTCTCTTCTCTATATTTCTCATCACGTGAAAAAGTGTCTGTTGTTGAAAAATGTGTTATTAGTAAAATTCCCAGCTAAAAAATGCATGTCCTTGTAAAGTCTTTGAGATAGGGTACAAAAACTGCCTCTCATTAACTGCGCTAGGTAATTGAACTTCTCTCGCTTTTTTGACCGAGTGGAATAACATTTCTGTTTGAAATTAATGGCATTCTGCACTTGCAAACTTTGCAGATACTTCATTTTCTTTTCCCCAGTTTTAAATTAGTACTTAATTAGAAAGCCTGGAAACTTTTTTCTTTTGTTACAAAAAGCTTGGAAACTTTCTGAGAAGAGAATAACTGGATGTAGCTTTATGCTTGATGAGAATTGCAAAGGTGGATATGCTTTTTACTTTTTACTTTTTACTTTTTACTTTACTACTACAACAGCGAGGGTAAGGTTCATGGTTTGATTCGTCGATTTCACACAAAAGCCCACCACTGTTTAGAAGTAAACATATCATTTGCTTTGTAGATTCTCCATGATATCTTGAGCCTCCTGAATCCTGATAAAGAGTCATCTTCCCATGGGTTGGGGTTCGAGTCTCTGTCATAAAGATGAAGTGCGCATAATGATAAGGCCACAACAAGGCTCAGGATTCATCAGCTTTCATTTTATTTGCCCCACATTTTTAAGGACGACAGAGGGCGAGTTTCTCCATATCTAGATGCTTTAAATTTCTGTTTTGCTTTTATCAAGCATGCATTTGGACCATTTTAACATCATCCAACACCAAAAAGAATGCAGAAATGCAGATGAGGGACATCAGTTTAGCTAGAGTTCGAATATCGTACGTTAAAATGGTTTGGCTACATTTTGTAGTACAAACTTTTTAAGATCTATATATATGCACAGATCAAAACCCTAAC